AAAAAAAAAAAAAAAAATCTGGATGGGCTAGAGTTACTTCTTGAAAATCAGTAGATAAAAATAGGGATTTTTGGCTTTAGGGGAAGAATTCATGCATCTATATGCTCTTTCATAATATTCAACAAATATAAACAAGAATTCTAAGTCAATTTTGACAAATTTGCTGTCAGAATGCTATCCTTACAACTTGTAATTTTCTAATATATGAGTCTTGATTGGGTTGTGATGCCAACTTTATAGACATTAATAAGCACCTTTAACAAAAATAAAAAATTAAAAAATAAAAAAATAAAAAAAAAGGCACTCTTTCAACATGAATAAGTTCTCCAAATGATCCTATAGATCAACCATGTGCAAGTTTGCAAAACCAGAAAAAAAAAAAAAAAAAAAAAAAAACTCGTAAATATCTCCTTATAGCATAACACATTCAAATAAACGGCTCATTCAAGCTATATGGTGTGTTGTAATAACTTCAGTAATAGGGACAGTACGGCATGAAAGGATAAAGGCAAACATCAAATTATAGTTCGAAAGCAAACAAGCATTGAACAGGAATCAAAACGTTTGGCAGAGCATTTTTATCATGTACAGATACAGTTTGCGTAAAACCTTGAAAAATACTTTAATAGCTTTTATGGATCGGCTTTTCCAGCAAGTTCCTCGTCACTGGAAGCACTTTCGTCCTCAGTTAGTTCCTCATCGCTCGATTTTTCATCTGCCCCAACCCCTGCATCCTCAGGTTTCGCATATTTTTCGCAATACTCTGAAAAAAATGGTGATTTGCCATCAAATAATTAGACTGCTCAAGATTGAGTTAATTCTCCTAATTTGTTTGACTACTTTAAATAGAATAATTCGTGGAGATGGATAAGTATCAAGTTTGTGCTAGTTCATCTTCTTTGCATACACTATTCTTCCTGCATTCGCTTCGCCTTTGATTTGATCATAAAAAATGGCTTACATTGGGCAAACCAAAATGCCACCCTGATGCTTTGTAGTACTGCAGGTGCAAGTTTTTTTTTTTTTTTTCCAATTGCAAGGTAAATATTTAATCATAGAACCAAGGACTCAATGTGATTCATCTGATGCTTTAATATTATTCGAATCAAGCATATATGTCCAAAGAAGATTTATTTTCAGCAACCACCTTAAGAATCTTGATAGAGGACAAGGAACGAAATATACATGACCACAAACGAAAACTAGAATGTGAAGGCAAGTCAATTTCAACAAAAGTATCAATTAAAGTAGGGAAATAATAATAATAATAATAATAATAATAATAATAATAATAATAATAATAATAATAATAATAACTGATGTGAACATTATGCAAGCAAATATGCCTACTAGCTCATTTTTGTGTACATTTTTGTGTTCCTATTAGCTCAAAAACAGCCATTTATAGAACCTCATTGTCCTACAGTCCTCTCAAGTTATTGATTAGTTCTAGAGTTAACCGTCAGACTTTGGTTTTAACTGAAAGTTTGAAACAGATTAGAAACAATGTACCTGAGTTCCACGGTGAAGATTCTTCAACTTCACACTTGTGACGTTTATAAATAGCTCTAGTGTCTTGGTTAGTAAACGTGGATTCCCGATAACATTACCAAAAGTAAAAAACTATATACCGAAAGAATTTTCACAGGTCCACTTGCATTTAAGAAATGGAAAACGGAATATCTATAATACAACAACAAGTCTTTTAGTCCCAAGCAAGTTGGGGTAGGCTAGAGATGAAACTCAAGAGAAACAATGGTAAGAGAAACACAAAAAGGGATCAAAAAAAAAGGAAGAGATTGGACGGAATATCTATAATCACTGAATTTTTTTGGATAA